TTTTTTTTTTTAGCCCTTAGACAATGCCTCTCTTTCTGAATTAAAAACGGTCCTGCAAAGCTTCCTAAGTCAAAGCCAGGTGTTGAAGTTGGAGGTTAAGGTAGGTTGTTCAGTGTTTATGGTAAGTTTCTCCAGGTTGTTTAAGACATAAAATGGCTATAGAAAGTATTGGTGGAAATGTTTTAAGTGCCTTCGAGTCGGTTCCAATCCATAGCGACGCTGTATCCGAGGAGCCGCTGGTGTGCTTGAACCGCCGACCTTGCAGTTCAAACGACTTTGCAGTCTGACACATTAACCCACAGTGCCACACCAGGACTCCAGTGGAAATGTAGTTCCGATTATTAACTAAATTTGCCCCTACTGTAGTTTATAAAAATTTTGTATTTATTTTTATTTAAATAATTGCTTGGTTTTGTACATAATTTTTACTTCTGCCTTTTTCTGGGCATAATTATAATGGCCATTTGTGTAGCAGATTCACATTTTCCAAAGAATTTTTTTGTGTGTCCATTTAATTAGTGAAATGTCAGTGTGTTCTCATTTGTTTTATTTCCTAGACTGATCCCTCAATCATGGGTGGAATGATTGTACGCATTGGAGAGAAATATGTCGATATGTCTGCAAAGTCCAAGATTCAGAAACTGAGCAAGGTTATGCGGGAGACTATGTGAAAGTCAATTTTCTATCATCATTGAAAATTTAAATTCTTAAACTTGGAGCATCAATAAAGTGCTTCCTAAACAAACCATATTATGTTTTTTGTTTTTAAAATAGAAATGCAATGAGCCTTTTATCTTTCTTTCAGTATCCTCCTAGTTTAAAGAAGAATTTGACCTCTGAAGATTATTTTTAGGAATTTATCGAAGCTGATGTCTATTATTGTTGTTAAATGCTATCAAATTGGTTCCAGCTCATAGTGGCCCTGTGTAGGGTTTCCAAGGAGCAGCTGGTGGGTTCGAACTTAACCGTCCATTTGGCTCACAGTCCAGTGCTGATCCGAAAGTGCCAAACCAGGAATCCTTGTGCTTATTAGGAATGTTATTTATTGAGCCCTCATCATATTTCAGGAGTACTGGTGTGATGCTGTAGGACAAGCACTGGACTGCAAGATTGGCAGTTCAAATCCACCTGCTGCTCCTTGGAAACCCTATACAAACTTGCTGTGAGTTGGAACAACAGTAACATATTTCAGGCACTGTTGCATGAATAAGGTCAATGTACCTTACCTTATTCCTCAACCTCTGAGCCCAGAGCCCAGGGAGGAGCACTTGTCAAAGGTACTGAAAGTGCTTCCTCTAGCCCCAGAACCCAAGTTGATGGTTTCATGTCTCTTAGTCCTGACAACCAGTAGGCTGGGGAAGAACACATATAATGACCAGAGTACTGTATTTCCACAGCTGGGAGCCAGATTTGAGAAGTAAAGCTTTTAGCTTCTGTGATAATTATAAGTTACCCTATCTCCTTTGTAAATTCTTCAGTGAGAATTATCACTATCTCCCTCTACAGGACTAAATGTGTACCTTTACCGCCACAATGAGTGTGTGATTTCACACAAATATCTCCACACCACCAGAAAAATTCTTAAATTTAGGCTCCCATACCCTCAGTGACAGGGAAACAGTGCTTGTTGCTAAGTGCTGTCGAGTTGACTCCAACTCATAGTGACTCTGTATACGTTTTTTTCCAAGGAGTGACTGGTGAGTTTGAATCACCTACCTTGTAGTTCAAACTGACCTGCAGTCCAGTGGTTACCTTGCAGCACCACATCAGGACTCCATACTTCACAGAGTTGTGAATAAAGCAAAATTAGTACAAGGCCCACGAGTTTAACTGTAGTAACTGGCTCAACTACCTCTTAATTTCTTTGGGTCACCTGTCCCCAAGAACAGACAGAACAAGCACAGTGGCTGATGCACAGTAGTCACGCCGTAGTCCATTTGGTACTGGAGGATGTCCCAAATCTAGTTCCCAGTGATCCTGGTGGTGCCATGGTTAAGTACTGAAGCCACTGACCAAATGCTTAGTGTGGTTGGACCCCACCAGCTGCTTCTCAGGAGAATGAGCTGACAGTCTGCTTTGAAACCCTAAGGGGCCGTTCCACTCTGCCCTATAGGGTTGTGATGAGGCAGAGTCGACTCCGGTAGGCAAACATCACCTCACTTTACAAATGAGGAAAAAGATGGAAGAGGCCCAAGAGATTTGTTCAGACCCCATGACTGGACATTTGGTAGGTCAGACCCCAAACCCAATCTCCCAGGTCAGCTCTTCTGCATGTATCCTCTTGGTCTAGAGAAAATTGAGCTATCTTGAGTACCAGTTCCTTGGTCAGCCTCCTCCAGCAGTCTGGGTAGCAGCAGTCAGTTCCTCCCCTGGTTGGGCAGTAGTGAGATGACTGTAACTAGGAATCCCTGTAGGGCCGCCACAGTACTGGAACCAGCGTACCCTCCTGGAAACTAACAACAACTGAAAGATAGTGTTCAGGGGCTCCTGGGACCTTCTCAGAAGCCATTTATCTAACTTGGCTGGGCACATGAGTACCTAGCTAGAGACAACATTGCCAGTCTCCTTTGGCTCTACCTGACCATGTAACTTCTTGTTGTTAGGTGCCGTGGAGTTGGTTCCAACTCATAGCGACTCTACCTTTCTCCCACGGAACAGCTGGTAGTTTCGAACTGCTGACCTTGCGGTTCACAGCCAGATTCGTAACCCATACGCTACCAGAGCTCCTTGACCATGTAACTAAGGTCCAGCAAATGGATGAGGAGAGGAATGTACACTTTCCTGGTTTGCCCTGATGAGGAAAGGACACATAACTCTAATCTTTCCCTCTTACCCTCTAGTGAGAAGCTGGAGCAGCCACACTCTAAGGGAAAAGCTACCTGCCAGGCCTTAGCTGCTGGCCCTGGACTTTTAATGTCAGGGGGAAATAGTTCTCTCTTGTGGAAGCAGCTCAGTCGGTTACCTAACCAGTACGTAAGACTGCTCCAGCTAGGGCAGATAGTCTCTGTAGACCATTGTAAATGCAGAAGGCTTCTAGAGACAGATGTCTGCTGTCATGGACAAAATATCTGTGGCAAGGTGGCCGGGAAACAGGGAGGCAATTTGCCAAAGATGGCCTCTGTGTAGTAGCGTTGTTTACCTCATCAAAACATAAGGTGTCCATTAGTCCAAAAAGCCCTGTGCCAGACTCCCATTTTTATTCAGCCAATTGTTTTTAATAAAAAGAGTAAAAAATAAGCTTTTAGCCCCATGAGAGCTTGTCTGCTTTTCACACCTGGCAAAACTACATACAACATCTGCTACCCCTAGGTAAGACCCTTGTAAGGACTTGTGTGTTATTAAGTGCTGTTGAGTCATTTCCAACTCATAGCAACCCATTATAGGGTTTCCCAGGAGCTACTGATGGCTTTGAACCACTGACCTTGGGGTAAAGACTTAGTTGTTAAGGACTCCAAGTTGCATCTGCCACTTGGAACTTTCTGAGTCAGAGACTCCCTACTGAGGAACTTCACCTAGACACACGTAAGCCACCTACCCCGCCTTCTTTCCACAGGAGTTCCTTACCCTGCAGTGCTCTCTGGAGAACTTCCTGCTGGGGGCGATAGCCCTCTACATGCAAGTTTGGCATTCGGCCCAATACACAGCAACACTGCCATCTCGTGGTCATGACTTTTTTTTTTTTTTTGCTCCGCCCTGAACTCCCTCTAACTTCCTATACTGATCATTTGTACTGCCCAAAGTCTTCAAAATCAAGCTCAACAATCTGCTGGCTGAGTATTTATAATATAGGCAGGCATCCTAGAAAAATGGGAAGAAGTTGTCAGAGCTATCTGTGTACGTTGAATTATATTCTTCACTGCATTTTTCTCTCATTTTAAGACATTCTGGATTGCTTAAATAAATTACGATACTTTCATACAATGGGGTACTATGTACTTAAAAATCAAGTTGTGGAAGAAGTATAGTTTTTAAAAGGCAATCAAATGAAATGGGAGAATTCATATAAATGAAGTAATTGAACAATGGCTGGTATAAAGGAAGTGCTCAATATATATTATCTATTATTAAAGGAGCTCTGGTAGCGTAGTGGTTACAAGTTGGACAGCTAACCTCAAGGTCTGCAGTTTGAAACTACCATGGGAGGAAGATGAGGCTTTCTGCTCCTGTCAAGATTTACAGCCTGGGAAACCTATGCGGGTCGCTGTGAGTCAACCAATTCCACGGCACAACACCACCACCATTATTAAAGAATTAACAGTATTAAAACACAGAAGGAAAAAATGACAGGATTGACATACATCAAAATGTTAACACGTACCTTTGTGTGGAAGAATACCTCCATTAAGTGGTTTTATTTACATTGTAATTTTCTGACCTTGACAAATTGTCTCCATTAACAAGGATTACTTATGTAATTACAAGAAAAATAGTTAATAACCCTGTAGTGAATTAATTGCTTTGAAAATACTAGTTGCTGAATTTGGTTAAATATCTATTCAATATGCTTTATACTACTGATTCTCTAAGGGGGGTGGGGAGGATTGTCAAATGAGAGGACTGTCATTTGAAAAAATAATTCATTATTTTGTCTTTAAATGATACTTAATTTGTTTCTAAAAATTCAAATAACAACCAAAATAAGAGTATTAAGATTTTTATATGTACAAAAAAATGGAGCATTGATGGACTCAAGTGTGGCAACAGTAGTGAGGTTGGCCCAGGATTGGGCAGTGTTTCGTTCTGCTGTGCATAAGGTTGCTGAGTTAGTACCGACTCAATGACACTAACAACAACTGCTTTTAAAAAAACAAAGATACGTTGTTTTAGGGTCCATTTTTTTAATACATCATAACAATTGGGTTAATGTGCTAGACTGCAGAATTGGTTTGAATCTCAAGGTCAGCAGTTCAAACTCACCAGCCGCTCCTTGGAAACTCTATACAGGGTTGCTATGCATCAGAACCTACTTGATGGCACTTAACAACAACAAACTGGTAATGAGAGAAATGCCTTTAAAGCCAGAACAGAAGAAAATGCTACAAATAATAAAATTCAGGTAACAATTTAATGGTTTGCTAACAGCACCCAACAATAATGGTTAAGGTTCTGAAAATGCCATTTTCTTTTAGAAACCTCTTCATGGAAAGCCAGAGTAATCCTTTTGAATGTCTTTTAAAGACAATCTTAGCTTTGTCCTTCCTCACCTCCCTTCTTAAGCATTTCTTATGCAACATACAATTTATGTTCTCCTAAATACTTGGTACATGGAAATCTATTTCTACTTGGTGCTAATATTTGTCTGAAGAAGACAGGAGAGAGTTGAAAGTTTTCATTTGTGTCCTTTTGTTTGTTTTTTAAATTTACTTTTGCACAATTTTACTTGCACACTACAACCTTATCTGTGTGAAAAAGAGACGCACAGGAACTGACAACCGTTTGCAAGGTAGTCAGTTTCCTATCTTCTCAAAAAAGAGGTGGAGGAGAGAGAACCAAAAATAATCCACAGTAACAGGCTTGGCTTTTCTCATTTTATTCATGAACTACGTGAATTTAAATTATACAGGTCAAAATGACCTAAGAGTTGTTTTGAAGATTTTGTTCTTTTTAGGTTCAAGATACACAGGAATAGTCATTTGTACTGATTTTTCTACTGATTTAATGAGAAAAAAAA